TAACATAATGCCTGCCCCCCTAAAATAAAGCCTGGCTACGCCCGTGACCCAGCAGTGACCCAGTAAAGGTACCCCTGCCCGTACGGGCCAGTCTTGTCAGACTCTAGGGTTGTGTGCTCATCTCACTCTAGAGGCCGGGAGCCGGCGCCGTCCGCAGACACTTCCGGTCACGTGGCCAGTGTGACATCGCTGCTCTGGCGAGCCTGCACCAGAGCAACACACGGAACGCCATTTACCTTCCTGCTATACAGCGGTACCTATTTATCTATTTGCACTTAAGGGTGCTTTCGAACTGCTAGGTGGGCAGGAGCTGGGACCGAGCAACGGGAGCTCACCCCGCCGCGGGGATTCGAACTGCCGACCATACGATCGGCAAGTCCTAGGCACTGTGGTTTTACCCACAGCGCCACCCGCGTCCCGGAAATAAAGGATTGGCAGCTGGTTGGAAGTGGGGTACTCTCCATCATGCAGAGAACACACCTGTGCAGTGAATGGGAAACTAAGGTGGTGTTTTATTGGCCTAAAACTCAGCTAGGCCGTTCCTTTTCCTCAGTTCATAATGAAGCTGGCATGATGGGAAGATGCATCTAAAGGCAACATTTTCATAAGAAACAAAAGGATAGATAAAGGATAGATGGTGGATTGTAACTAATGCCCTTTGTGTACTGCTTCCCAAATCAGCAGAATAATCCAGAATAAACAGAAGTGTGGTCTACAGCTCAAAGGCTTATCCACACTTGCCTTTCCTCTGCTCTTTCCAGGCACTTTAAAGCTCCGTGTTCAAGCTCCTCTTCCCTCCCCGCCCCCAAGCTTTCCCCACAGAAACCCACTCTTTAGAGCTCAGTTGAAGCAAACGTCAATCCACAGAAAACCTGAATTGACAATTGCTCCAGTCCAGCTTTAAAGAGTGGGTTTTCATGCGGCAAGCTTGGGAATGGGGGAACACATACTTGGATATTATGGCGTGTTAAAGCACAGACCTGTGCCTGGAAAGAGCAGGGCAAAAGGTAAGTGTGGATAAACATGAGTTGTGACTTGCAAAGGTTTCCATAGCTAAACCTGAGAATGTTATGGTTGCTGACAAGGCTGAGAATTATTTTAGATGGTGACTCTGCCAGGTTTGAGGGGCTGCTGGGCAAGATGCCCTTAGGGGGCAGGATGTCCCACTGATGATGCTTTGTTAGCCCCTCCCACCATTATCACAACCCCCCATCCCTACCCGCCGCCATCCCTGTCTGTCTTGTCTGACTCTTCTTTCCCTTCTGCCTTGGTCACTCATTCTACAAGTGTTGGTGGCAGGAAGGCTGATACTAACTAGCCCACTTACTAAAGCAGGCATGGGTAATCACTGGCCTCTAGGCCAAATGGGACCACCAGAGGTCCTAATTTGGCCTGCAAGGGGCGTTTTTATCCATACAGTCACTCAGCAGACCCAGACCTGCTTAGCTTCAGCAAGGTGGTGGGTTCATGTATCTTCTGACCATACCCTGGGACAAAGCAAGTGGAGGGCTCTGCTCTCTCTCCTTCTACTTGCCATCGCTTGGATGCTCAGAGAAGGCAGGTGAGCAGGCTGCCCCAATGAGAGGAGGAGGACTAGGAGGTTCTAGAGAGTGGACAAGTATATGGACTTCAGCAGATGTCCATTGAAACCTACTACTCCTGACACCAGCCCTGAGTTGAGTTCAGATGGGCCCAGGTGACTTTTGTATGCAGAGAGCTGCCAGGTAAGCACTAAGGTGTTATGGTGATGGGAGAAACTTGAGCTGCCAATTGTCTGACTGCCAATAGAGTTTTCTGAAGGCGTGGGGAACCTTTTGATGTCAGGTATTTGTACAGCTGTCAGATTCAGCAGAACAGGTGTGGGGAACCTTTGGCCCTCAGACTACATCTCCCATCATCCTTGGCCATTGACCTTGCTGGCTGGGGCTGCTGGGAGTTGTAGTTCAGCAACATCTGGAGGTCCACAGGTTCCCGATACCTGGAGTTTAAGGAAGAGTCACGTTGTGTAGAGAGAAGATATACAGCATGATGTACAAAGAGCCCCACAAGGTGGAAACCTCCCTCTTACACAACTATTAAATGCACAGCAGCCCAGTCCTCTGCAGAAGCTGGTAGCTTTGGCCTCAGCACCAAGAGAATGGTGGCAGGGTGTGGAAAAATGCTCCACAGGAATCTGGGATCGTCACTCATCCTTACGCAACACATGCTCACCATCTTGCTATGCTTTTGCTGCTACACGGTTAGAAAAGTGACACAGAATCTCCCAGGCAGCTGCCACCTGCATTATCCAGATTGTGGGTGGCTGGGAATTTTGATCATATGTATGAGCTTGTGCTAGCCTTGTCTCGGCTGAACAGAAATGGTGTAGTCCTGCTCTAAAACAGATGATTTGTAGACAAATATGAGTGATGGTCATGATCTGAGCAAGAGGAAATTCTCTGGCTGGGAGAACAGGCCAGTTTCTATTGCCGATGTGAAACCCATGACCCAGCTGGTGTAGAGAACTCAGTACCTCACTCCTCCACCTTTGATCAAGCACTGTCATTAGTGAGTTATAAGCACCTTTTGCATCTCCCCTCAAATTGAGTCATTAGAGGCTCGAGTCGGGAGTCCCTGTTTTTTAAAACCGCCAAAGGGAGCACTTTGCCGTGTAATTAAAGCCTCCTTGTCTATTAACCTGCGTCTCTCTCGCTCCCTCTGTTCACCTGGACTGGTAACTCGCTAGGCTGTTCACAGATCGAGGTGGTTGTGGGAGGGCTGGGAATATTGAGACACAGGAGCATGGGCTGGTTCTCTCCCCCTTTGACAAATTGTAAACAAGGATCTGAATTAAACTGCAAAGCTGATTGCTGTGTTGACAAGAAAAAAGCAGAGAGTTATTTATAGGAAACAATATCCTGGCACTATGTATGTCACAGTAAATGTACAGTACAGTTCTTATAAAGTCCTGGACAACTTAGGACCAGGTGATCTGAAAAAATGCCCTTCCCCATACTGAGCTGCCCATTTACCGAGATCTTGGGAGGGTCCCCTGTTAGTTATGCTGCAGCCTACAGAAGCTCATCTCTCAGCAACTTGGAGGAGGGCCTTCTCCATGGTGGCCCCCAGTCTGTGAAATGAACTCCCCACCAAGATATGGCAGGCACCTGCTGTGGTGAGCTTCTGCCAGCTGTTAAAAACCTATCAGTGTACTTAAGTTTTCTCTCATCTCTATAAACAGTTGAACAGTTCATGGCTACTGTATTCAATATGTGTTATTTTTATAGGATTGTTTCTATTGCATACGGAATTGTTTTTTGAATTATTGATTTATTATATTTGTTTGTCACTTTTCTCACAGAGGGACCCAAAGCAACTTACATAAAAACCAGATAAGGACATCCAATGGGGTGGGGGATCTAAAAACACAACTAAATGAATTTGCATGGAATTATTTTATTGCACACCATCTTGATGTTATTTTAATGGAAGGCAATATAGAAATATTTTAAAGAAATAAATGCAGTCCAAAATGCAGAGATCATGGACAATTCTGAGGGAACACCTTCCAGTTCATAGAATCACAGAATTGGAAGGGACCACGAGGGTCATCTAGTCCAACCCCCTACAATGCAGGAATCTTTTGCCCAGTATGGGGTGCAAACCCACAATGCTGAGATTAAAAGCCTCATGCTTTACTGACTGAGCTATCTGAAACATCTGTAGCTATTAAACATCCAAGTCACCAAATCAGAAGAACATAAATGAAAGTTCTGCCTGATACAGACATCTAATAAGATTCCCTTCTGTGCAATATGGAAATGCCCCTGAGACACTCACCTAGTGCCAAATTTGCTTTCAGTCTGCTCCCAGGCACAAACATTTTTATTTGTCTGGACTTTTAATAAGAAATAGTAGCTTGCTGTATAATATTTATAACTCTTTTGTTTAATATTTATGCTGCCTTTTTTTTACTCATCACATATTGTGTGAATATGGCAAATTATGGGCAAATTAAGCCTGAAAATTCTGATGTAGACCTTAGCATTTGGACAATAACCTAATGGATAATTGCCAACAACATTCAACACAAGTGGTTTGGGAATCTGGTCTTTAGATAAATTCAGCTTTCTTGCTTTCTTTTTAAAAAAGAGGTAAATACGTAGTTATCTAGCCTTCATGATAACAAAACTTCAAAACTGGGGGGCTGTGCAAGGCTTCCAGTGGTGATGGTGGACTTGTTCAATTTGCTTATGGAAGTTAAGAAGTAAAGACTTTAAATTATGTGTTTTAACTCTCTTTGTAGCCCTTTCTATATTGACCCAGGGTACTTGTCTGGAATTCAGCATAGTGCTAAGTGGGGTATGCTTCCGGAGAATGAGGTCCACTCACATAATGGCACTTTCCCACCATTTGCTAATTTAGGGCATTGGGGGTGGGATGAGGGGGGGGGGAGTCCCATTGCAGGAACAGGTCTCATTACACACATGCAACAACTTAGATGAATCGTGCCCTTTGTCTCAAAAAGGTAGAAACTTATATGGATTACTTTCTTCCGTTCATTTTGTAAGGATTCCTTTCTAAAAACTCAGGGTAAAAGAATATTCATAAGGGGCAAGGAAGAGTCTGTTTATAGAATGCAAATACAAAACAAGGTAGTTCAGTAGGGTATTGTCCATAAAAAATGCACTATACACTGGAAACTTCATAACCAACATGGAAGCAGTTTGGCTAGTGAAATACAAATTGAACATACTTGTGTAGCTTCAACCTGGGATGTTCTAGCTCTAAGAACAATTACGATTTGGAAGCAGCTTTCAAGGGAGATTGCAAAGTTTCCCTTGCTAAAAGGTTTCCTTTTTTCCTCTGTAGTTTGCAGTATCAGCCCCAGAGAAAGTTGCAGCAGTGGGTGTTGCCCATCCTGGATCTTGACATTTGCTTTCTAAGAAAAAATGTTAGCTTTTAAGGTCACTTTGGTGTACGTGGTGATGGCACCACTGACTTGTCTGTTTTCTTCCCAGCTCCTTATCCAATGAGATTCTGGGCCTGAAGTTGCCATTGGAACCTGTGCTTAATGCCAACACAGTGTGCCTGACCTTGCCTGGTCTGACACGGCGACAACTGGAGGTGTGCGTGCGGAATCCTGACGTGACGGCTTCTGCCATTCAAGGCATCCAGATCGCCATCCACGAGTGCCAACACCAGTTCCGCGATCAGCGCTGGAATTGCTCGAGCCTGGAGACCAAGAACAAGATCCCCTATGAAAGCATCATCTTCAGCAGAGGTTAGAGTTCTCTTCCTGCCATTGGCTCTGTGAAAGCTCTGAGTAGGCAAAAGTGATCACATCCTTGTGGGCGCTTGGCTGGCTAAAAATCTGAGAGCAGTGAAAGAAATGATGGAATGGGGATTTGTTGAATCTAGTACCATGTTTCTGGGTTTTAAGGCAAGCTCATGAACACCTGTGATACAGAGGTTTCCACATGTGCTTTATTGTGAAATGGAAATCTGATAGTTTGATCACATTGAAAAAGAATCATTTAGATTTGGACAGAGGTGGGCTGACATCTGTTTGTTTGTTTTACTACAATTTAGTGGTCGGATTTACAATTCAAGTGTGTGTTCTTGGGAACTATCTGTTTACATTAAACTGAATTGGTCTTGTGGATGTTCTTCTGTTTCTGAACCTGCCTTGCTGGATTTCATCAAGGTTCAGCATTCTTTGCAAGAATCCCAGCTGCTAGAAGGCACTTGAATAAACCAGAATCCTGTTATCCCACAGCAAGCTTCAATGTGCTTGTGACAGTTTTGAGGAGCAGTGGCCCTGCCTAACTCTAGCTGATCGGTAGAGCTATATGGAGGGGGATGAGATGCATCATAGAAGCCTAGAGGTGTTCAACACTATCACTCTTTCTTTAGCCTCAAGACATACCAAACCCATTCTTAGCTACAAAGCAATATGAAAGCTTTGTTCAGAATATTGCATAGCAGAGGACAAAGGTAAGAAGACCTTAGGAATTTCAGATTGTTATCAAATGGAAAGCCCTAAGGAAATATTTTGCTACTAACTGAATGAAACAATTTCCACACACAGGCTTTCACAAGTGGGTGGAACTTACTGCTGCATAATATTGTGCATAGTATGAGAATTCAAGATTAAAAGGAGTGCAGAAGGACTATTTGCTTTGCATGCACATTGTTGACACTAATCACCCAAAGGAGGGAGACTTTGTTTGCTGTGTGCTCACTGTGTCTTGATTCAAAATGGTGCTTGGCATCCAAACATTGGCATGAACCCCACCTCAGGAAGCCTCATCCCGAGTTTGGCAACGTTGCCTTGAGATGCGGCCAAAACTATGTCACATGGAAGTCATGTTTAGGTCCACCATTTGATTCAAAATGGCAACCAGCACCCAAACATCAACAGTGAGCTCTAACTCCACCTCTGAAACACTTGTTCCAACTTGTTTGGTGGCAATATCTCAAGAGGTGTCCAATGCATAGAAAACAAACAGACAAACCACTTTCCAAAATATATAGTACAGGGATGTCCAACCAGTAGATCGCTATCTACCAGTAGATCCCCAGAGGATCCTGGCAGATCACTGGGATTAGATCACAGTCTCTTGGGAGTTGGACATGCCTCATAGGCGCCGACTCCATGGGGCTTGAGGGGGCCCGAGCCCCCTCAAAAATTTGTTTGGGGGGGCTCCGCCCCCCCAATAATCTCCGGCGCCCCTCCAGCAGAGCGCCGGAGATTATTGAAGGCTTGTAAACCCTTCAATAGAGTCCCGAAACCCCTCAATGAAACATCAGGATTTCTCAAAGAACCATCGCTGACCAATGGGCATCGTCCAAGGTGAGAGGCAGCCAATCCGAAGTCAGGAAGCAGCAGCCCCGTGTCTGGAGCGCGCGATCCGCCAGGAGAGCGCAAGAAACCGAGAGCAGAAAGCGGGGAAGAAGCGCGCTACAAAATGTAGCAACAGCGGATACAATGTTTCCTCCTGTTTCCTTGTTTCTTGCAAGACAGAAACAGAGGGCGATCCAGGGCTCCCCTCCCTCCCTCCCTACCTCCCTAGCAGAAGGTCCTTGGAGCTGATTAATAGGCGCAGCACGCTCTCCCCTATTTGCTCACGAGGAGGCGGCGCCACTTTATTTGCATATTCATGAGCTTATTTATTATTCATGAGCTTTCCCGGGCCCCCCCAATATTTTTTATAAGTCCGCGTCCCTGACATGCCTGATATAGTAGATTGGTTCTGAACTGTCATGGCTTCCCCCAAGGAATCCTGGCAATGTTACATTTCTGCAGGTTCTGATACTTGTCTCTTAGGGATCCCTATCCCTGAATACCCCTCCCCCAATTCCCCGCTTTCTCTCAAGAGAAGGAACGACTGTCAGCTGAAGACTGTAACCCTATACACATTTATCTGGGCTCAAGGCCTGTTGGGCTTACTTCATAGTAAATGTGCTATAGGCTTGTGCTGTAAATTCTCTAATCCATTGTGGCTGTGCAGGCCCTGCCCCAGTCTGTTGTAAAAGCTGGGCAGCATCCTCTATTCTGCTTTACCCTCCACTGTCCAGTACCACTGCCCTCCAGAAAGCTTATGAAGCCATTCCTCCTAATGATCAGGACCATACAAAGCTACTAAGTTTTTGCCCTTTCCTGTTGCTTTTGCCTGAATTGTGGAACAAGAATTTGACTCCTCAATCGAAATAGAGCCTGTTTGAGGGGAATTCCATAACGTTCCCTGGACCTTGACAAGGATGTGCGTGTGCAGAGTGATGGCAAGGGGCAGATACATGAGTCCCTTGTCACCTGCATTAATGCTGCTTGTAAGGGTGAGGGTGAATTGTGTCTCGCTGCGTCTCACCTGGGAATTTCTGTTGCTTACGAGGATGGTTCTTGGTAACCTAAAGTGACAGATCCCTTGAATCTTTCATGCCTCTTCCCACATCCGCTTCCATCAGCTCAGCCATGCGTGCTCCTCACTTTAAATAATTTGTAGATCACTCCATTCCTCCCTATACCAGTCCCTGATCTTTTACGCCTCACCATCTCTTCCAACCAAGTGAGAGAGAGAAAGAGAGGGGGGGAGGGAGAGAGAAAGCCCCATCAGTCTCTCAAGGCTGAAAAACTGGCTGCAGAAAACCTGTCTCCTTCCAACCCTGGCTCAGCTAGGTGGACTGAACTGGATGGATGCCCATGTTCTGGTAACAAGACCTTCTGAAGACTTGGTAGAAGGTAGATGTGAAGCAGTTTTGTAGTGTGGGAACAAAGATGCTTGATATAAATGCTTGTGTCTTGCCAGATCCAATAAAATAAGGGTGCATCTTGATTATTATTTCTCCCTAGTAAACTGTTGCAGAAAAATCACAATAGAAGCTGATACACTGCATACTGCGCATCATGGAAATATAGATATTTTTTTTGCCATTCTTAATGCATTGCTTCCTGGATCCCCCGACTTCTATTTATGCCAAGCATTTCCTTAATTCAACCTGTCATTATGCATACTACTTCTGGACAGAAGTCTCTCTCTCTCTCTCTCTCTTTCTCCTTCTTTCCTTCCTTCCTCCCTTCCTTCGATAACCCCCAAAGGGGGTGGGGGTGCTCAATGAAGCATCTGCAGAGCTGGTCCACCCATGAGGCAAGGTGAAGCGACTGCCTCAGGTGGCAGAATCCACTGAGGCAGCAGATCCCAATGTTAGTCTTTCTTTCCCCCTTTGTTCCTGATGTAGATCCTCCCCTACCTCTTTTTCCCTGTTGGGAAGGGAAGCACCATTTTGGGGTCTGCCTCAGGTGCCAAAATGTATTGAGCCAACCCTGAGCCTCTAAGTATGATCTGTGGAGGAGAAATGGTGGACAGAGCAAGGGTTAAGCATTCCCTCTTTCTACCATTTCTCCATTCTAAATTCCACTTCCCTCAGCCTGCCTTCTTTTTCTTTCTTTCTTCTTTTAAATAGTACACATTTGCATGTAGCATATAGCTAACCTTTTACATTCCAATGTTTGGGGGTGAGGAATAAAGTATAGTTGCATTCTGACCTCAGATGCTATTGTCAGCAAGAGGACCATGTGGTCCCAATGAAATGTGGCCAGATTCTTCCAGCCTGGAGAGTCACAGCTTGGAAAGTTTTGGCAGCTCTAGGGTCTGTAATGTTAAGAAAGGTCCCCTCCAGACAGCAGCAGTGCAGTCATACTGGGGAAGCATCTCAGAACAACTAATAAAGCCGAATGGTGTGTGAACAAACCAGTATGAATCTACCAATGAAGTTAAGGTTGAAGAATCATTGCTTTGACACTGGTGATCTTTGCTTCTTTCAGTACACTGACATTAGTTCGCCTGTCTTTCCAAGTGATGTGTACAATTTTGGGGAGACACCGTTGATGGAATCTTTCGAGGAGTTGGAGATGCTATTTATAAGTGGTCCATGTTTTGCAAGTGTACAGTAAAGTTGGTAGTACAATGGCTTTCTAAACGAGCATTTTGGTTTCTCTGTTAATGTCCCGGTCCTCAAACACTCTGCGCTTCAATTGGAGAACAGCCTTTACCAAAGGTGTCGTGGACTTTGAAGAAACACGAACTTAGGGCGAAAAGGAGAAACGAGCTAAGAGGAAGGCACTTTTGGCAAACCCACGCGGTGATCAACTCTCACACAGAAACCTATGTCCCCACAGTGGAAATACGTGTGGATCCTGAATTGACTTCCACAGTCACGGACTCACTGTTAAGACTGTTTTCATGAAAGACAATCTTACTTAGCTACGAGTCATCTCCAAAGAGAAAGAAAGAGATGAATCTACCACTAATGTACTGTTATTGTGCCAATGGTATGTTGCAGAAAACCACCAGTCTAGAGGGTCCCTCAAGTTCTATGTCTTTTGGTGCCCATCACTTGGCATGTTCTGCAGCATGATGTTGAAGATCATTAGCTGGACATGAGTTTGACACAAGCTTAGTCCGGATAGTGAAAGAATGGATTCCCTAGTATGTGGGAGTAGAGGACAGGAAGATCAGTCAAAATATTCTGCTCTCTTTCTCCCTATCTACCTTAGATTTGCCAGTTATTCAACTATATAATGTTTGTTTTTAGGAAGCCCATGAAGAGATGAATAATCCTCCTATTGCTTTCTTCCTTTTCCCCAGCCTGGGGGAGCTTATGATTAATTCTCCTCATCTTAACATTTCTACCTTTTCTCATAAGAACCTAACAATTTCCAGCTCCCAGCTATACTTCTGATTAAGGTACTTAAAACATTACTGCTATTAAATCCTGTCCAGA